GGAGGCAGGGGCGCCCCTTTCTGGCCGTGGCCGCTGCCCAAGCTGGCGCTGCTGCCTCTGCTGTGGGTGCTTTTCCAGCGGACGCGTCCCCAGGGTGAGTGCCGGAGGGAGCTCGTGTACCGGGTGCTGCCGCTGCTCTCCCCGCGAAGGCGCCAATGCTCTAGGATAAGCCACGCGTTTGCGGAGCGAAAGGCAGAGGTGCAGGCGCCACTCGGCTCCCCCGGGGCAGGGACCCGGCGACACTGGGGAATGGGCGGCAGCAAGGTCGAACCGGAGCCCCGGGGCGGGGTGGGGGAGCTCTCCGGGTGGTTAACAGGATGTGGCGAGCACAGGGAAAGGGGAGGGGGGTTGCACGGAGCCTGGGGAGGCTTCCTGCTGCTCATTTCCCTAAGCCCCCCACCTTGCAATTGTCAGAAGTCCAAGTTCTGGGGTGTGCAGGCGGAAGTGGGGGATTCGACCCCCTTTCCTGAGACCCTCTGACTCCCTCTCCAGACAGCGCCGGGCCACTGCAGTGCTACGGAGTTGGACCCTTGGGCGACTTGAACTGCTCGTGGGAGCCTCTTGGGGACCTGGGAGCCCCCTCCGAGTTACACTTTCAGAGCCAAAAGTAGTGAGTACAGGGAGGTGACGTGGGGAAACAAGCTTTGGAGGTGGCCGCTCAGGTCCCAGACTGCCATGGTTGAAAGGTTCTAGGAGTCAAGCCTGGCCAACATGGTGAAACCCTGTCTATACTAAAAATACAAAAAAAGTTACCCGGGGGCGGTGGCGCCCGCCTGTAGTCCCCGATACTCAGGAGGCTGAGGCATGAGAGTCGCTTGAACCCGGGAGGCGGAGGTTGCAGTGATCCCAGATCTCGCCACTGCACTCCAGCCTGGGGCACAGAGTGAGACTGTCTCAATTTAAAAAAAAAAAGAAAAAAAAGAAAAAAGAAAAGTCTCAGGAGTCTGCCCCCCTCCCCCAATACTCCTCCACTCCGAAGCCCTTCAATGCTAGCTTCCCTCGTTTCTCCGCTGTGTCACCCTGGGCAAATCACTTTCCCTCTTTGAGGCTCCTTTACATTTCTCTGTTAAATAGCAATCATAGGGCCAGGAGAGGTGGCTTGCACCTGTTATCCCAGCATTTTGGGAAGCTGAGGCGGGAGGATCGCTTGAGCCCAGGAGTTCAAGAGTTCAGAGTTTTAAAGAGCCCGTCTCTTTTTCTTTTCTTTTCTTTTTCTTTTCTTTTCTTTTTTTTTTTTTTTTTTTTTTTTTTTTTT